TATCCAATCGATTCCTACCTCTTTCCTAGTCAAGATCAAGGACAATCAGAGGTCAGATTGAGAAAAAGTGAAGAGCGAGAGTGAAGAGTGAGACCAATTCGGACTCAGCGACCCAAAAAACCGAAACTCCGAGATTCATTGATTTAATGCACTTTTTCTCAATCTGACCTCTAATTGACCTTGATCCTGACTAGGAAGGAGGGGGGGTAGGTCTCGTTTGGGGTGAAATCAATTAGTTATTGGATACTGGTACACTGTGGTTACTTTAAAAAATTTACATAAATTGAATAGTGTTAAATAAACGGTAAATTCATATAATATACAGGGCGTTCATAAATGATTACAAGCCACGTAACCGCTGAGCTTAAGCAACCAACATTGCACGACTGGTATTGTCAACTAAAAATCTCTAAATCTTAGCATCATCAATGATTCGTTTACAATGAACAATGACAAACCGTTGGTAAAACATAATGTTGTGTTTTAATGTTATCTTGACCTTACTGTTTTAATAATTTTTAATTTTACGGAAATAAATTACTGTTCCAATCAAAATTACTGGTCACGTCGACATTAGAGTGAAACCTTTTTTTTTAGAAAAATTACAGCAATCTAAATAATTCCGTTCCACTGCAACATTTCTTTTGTAAACTAGATGATAACTTGCAGCAAGTTGCTATGAGTAATGTTGCTGAAACTTTTTGTGGTTCGCTTTTAATAAACTTTCTGGTTAAAGCATTTATATGAAATATCTAGCAAACTTGCAATGACCTCACACAGTAAGATTACATAATTAAAATGAATGCAACTTTATTGACATTTAATGTAAATTTTCTCGTTTAGTGGATACGGTTAGTAAAATGAAAATTTTATAGTAGGCGGCTGTAAAATACCTGGCAGCTGTGGGTCGTTTATAATTCGCAATATTATTGCCACTACTTTGAGTGCTTTTTTTGTGTAGATTTAATTCATTTAGTCAATATGCCAAACCGAGATGACGGATATCCTATGTGCACAATGGCCTACTTCATTTTTTTGGTTAAAAACTATAACATTTATGAACATGAAAATAGAACAAATCAAATTTGTTTGAGACCAATCAACGTAGCTATTAAAAAATTTTTTTTTACATCTTCAGTTTGACTGGAAAAAAGTTATGCAAAAAATTATTTGTAGTTGTCTTTTTTAGAACAGAAGAGGAAGATTAAGAAAATATCTAGTAAATTTCGATAGTAGGAAAAGTATACTTAATTTCATTTTTCTCTATAGTCAAGGGAAAACATGAAAACTATTTTTTTTCTCACCGTTAGTTCAAAGGGTCATAAATTCGAGAGTTTTTTTTTACAATTTTGGATAAGGAATCACTTCCTTCATTTTTCGCACTTATTTAATAAGCATATTATAGTATAGTGAAAAGTGAAAGAATATCGAAGGTAGGGAAGTATTTGTTGCAGTTACGAAACCAGCTCCAGCTACCGCTGTCGGGGATGCTGATTCCGAATTTGATGCCCGTTGAATTTCTAACCCTGCTCATTTCCCGCAATTGGCTAAAAACCACCCTTTTTTATTTGATCAGGTGCCGATCGCGAATATGATATTCTGACTATCTTATTCGTGATCAGCACCTTCGAAAATCGTAAGTTACATTAATAGATTCCATAAAATCAAATCGGGGGTAGTTTTAGCCCGTTCTAGAGGTTGCGAGGGTTGAGGAGGGACGTGATCATCATATTCGTGATCAGCGCCCTCGAAAACGGGGGAGAAGGATATAAATTTCATGGCTAAGGCCCGAAATCAGAAAAAGGGGTGGTTTTTGGCCAATTATGGGGTATGAGCAGGTTTAGAAATTTAGGAACTCAAATTCGGATTCAGCACCCTCGAAAACGGGGTCAGGAATCGGTTTCATAGCTGCCATAAGCCAGTGGCGGCTCTTGACTTCCATATCAGGGAGGGCGAAAAAATTTAGGTACAAATTATCGTAAAAAAATCAGATATAATTGAGTAGTTTTGTTTCCAGTACTTTTGAAATACAGGGAAAATGTGTTCAACATTAGTGTTTACAGTTCTTCTGCTTTTGTCCGAAATAAACTTTTCAATTACTTCTTTATTAAAGTTTGGTATTTCTCGCACCGCTGATTTTTCAATAGACAGCATCGCAAGTACCTATTATTAGTCTGTCTATACAACCTAATTAAAACTTTTACAGTCTTTTAAAAAACAAGTAGATAACGACATTTTATAGCACATGTAAACAAATTATGTTTAATATGAAAAAAAAAACAGTGAATAGCTATATCACTTTTCTCTGTTTTTCACTGCTGCACGACGGTAATCATGACCACCGCTGTAAACACTTTCCAGATTAGGAACGAGCTACGAGGGGACCACGCATTCAGTTTTTTCAAATGAATTTTGCATTTAATAGATAACAATGTAATCTAAATATTAAAACAAATTTTTGGACTATGAAAAACCTTTCCAAAGTAAACCATATTTTGCATTCTTTCACTACACTAATATGTAAGTAATAACTTAAATATAAGTATCTAAGTACTCAACTGTTAGATATTTTATTGTTAATGGTTATGTGACTGTAGTTATTAGTTAGTTACAGTTTATCCTTCACAGTCGTCAATTCGTGATATGTTCAAGTGACCTAAAGTTTCGAGGGTACGTGGAAGTAATTCTAAGCGATTAATTCCACCATGTGACTCCAAGATGTAAATTAATCGATATCACACCATTATCGACAGTCATTATATTTGTCCCTACTATTTTAAAATTACTTTTCCGATTACTCATATAATGAATACGCTTCGGGAATGTTTATTCGCCTTAATTATCTCCACATAAAAAATGAAATAAAAGTTGCCGTTACTATTTATTGAACATCCGCCATTTGAATGCATTTAATATCAAATAGGAATATATATTAAGTTTTATTTCAAGGAATTCTTAATGATGACAAGAAACCACAGACGACTTTGGGCATCCTATTCCTTTACGGATACTGGGATTTTCTGATGCTCTTCATGAAATTCTAATGAAGGTATTATCAAACGAAAATATACCAAACAATCCTTACAATAGTTAGGTAGGATTCGACAATTTAAAAATCTGGATTATCATAAGAAAATAGCCCAATGTAGCAAATTTGGTAGTTTTATTACAAATAATTTGTTAATAATGAACAGTTCTATACCCACTGGAGACATAGGCACCTAATAGTAAACATTTTTTATTTATTGCTTATATCGTTAATGCCACAATAACTACGTCTAATGAATATTTACATAACAATAAAATCGATAAAATTAGAATATTATAAAGACATAGACGTTCCCGTTAAAATGTCCATAGTTCTTATAAAATAAGTTGTTCCTATAATTATCATCGGCATGATCAAAGCAGTGATAGAAACTTATAACGACAACTTAATATTTAAATATCTGCAATTAGGTTTAAATTATTACCTTTTTATCTGTCACCCTCTGCCATCATAGTCATCACGTAAAAAAAGATTAAACTAAAATTATCAACTGATTGTTTTAACATTCAGTATTTGACTTGAACATCACAAAACATAAAACAAATATTGAAAAGGAAACAATTAATTCAAATGCAAACACTAATTGCCAGCGCCCCCTAGATCAGTTCCCGTTAACCGTTAGTTGGGCATAGATCGACATACTACCGGGACATTCAAATGATATAATGATATACCTAGAAGATAACTTATTATCAAAAAAAAATATAGTATGTTCTGTATACCTAATAATGATTCATACTTCTATCTAAGAGTGGTTTTTACACGATCATTAAAAATTGGTGACTATGTAAGCGTATTACAGTCCAATTTTTCACTGTAAAAAGGTCCAATTTTGAATATTAACATTGTTCCACACGTTAGGTAGGTGTAATCCTGTGACATTATCACACGTCCAAAGAATGTCGATTTTTCTATTTTAGCCTCTGGCCCATCTGGCCTCAATCAACTGTCAACTGTCTTTTACGAGAGCTTCTGAGTCTACTTTTTCTTAAAAAATTCTTGACTATTGTCATACCATACTTTTTCGGCCACCCAGTAAATATACTTTTCCCAAATCAGGTCGTTCTTTGCGTTAATTCCATCAAAATACAAACATGTATTTGCACCTAGGTTAATTGCATTTACGTGACTCTAACAAGTGACAGCCCATAGCATGCCGGAATATTAATTTATCATTTTCCGTCACATTTTAATTAGTAGTTCCTTAGCGATAAGCAACTAAGAATTATTTGAAAATTTTACAAGGATAGGCACGATTACACCGTAATAATTGTGTAGCTACTTATGTAGGTTCCCATTTGTGCGAGCAAAAATATACTTGGAGAATACACGACTGAAAATAAAATTTAGACGCCTGTAAGGGTATTAATAATTTAGTTATTAATCGGTCAGACATCAGAACATCCCATAGATCCTACGATTAAAATTAAGGGGGTGGTTCAAATAAAGTTTTATTGGAAAACGCTTTATTTCCAAGCAACATTGAAGTTGAAAAAATAAAACTATTTTCAGGCATCTCGAAAACCTTTGAAGTTACTTCCTAATTTGATATGGCGCGCATTCTCCCCAAGTCTTTTCATAACAAAATAAATATTACGTCACTGTGTACCGTGTTTGGCCCATTAGCAACGAAACACATTGTACAATATAATTTTTTTTTTGAATTATGAATTTTGAATAAATTTTTAAGTTAAGTAATAAAATAATGTAGTAATAAAATTAACAAACTTACCTAAAAAGGGCAAAGATAACTACTGTTCACTATTCATAAATTAACAATAATGAAACTATTTGTTCTACTAGCGCCCCCTGTTATCCACATCAACATTCGTATTTTGCTCTCTGCTTTATCGATACTGCTGAGAATAGCGATACGGAGTTGACCAATTGAAATCAAACTTTTGAAAGAAACGTAAACGTAACTGCCAAACATTTCCTTGTGTCGTGTGGCGAATAACCGTCCATTTTAAAGTTTAACTTGGTGTTTTAATTAGTTTAAGTGGTATTTTATAAAATGTCGAAAGAGGACGATGTGCATACCATCCCGGACGTTATATTCGATTCACATTCTAGGACGCAATACAAAAAAGGACGGTTTTTTGGGAAGGTAAAAATGATAGTTTCCATATAGATTTTTTATACACGTACCTGGCACTGTTTGCGTATAAATAGGACAAATCTATTTGATTTTATTTACGATCCATTCAACGAATGTATATTTCAATATATTGTCACGAAATATTCTCTGTACAAATTCAAAAGTAACGTTTTTCTTGTTGTTTATGTTCGCCTTTTATGTAATTTTTTCAGGGTGGTTTTGCAAAATGCTACGAAATAACTAACACCCTAAACAGTCAAGCTTATGCAGGAAAAATAGTTTCAAAGAAATTCATGGCAAAGCAGAATCAGCGAGAAAAAATGACCCAGGAAATACAAATTCATCAGTCTTTACGTCACAAGAATGTTGTTGGCTTTTATAGCTTTTTTGAGGATAATTTGAATATTTACATCGTGTTGGAATTGTGCAGGAAGAGGGTATGTATAGTATAAACCAATACAATCCTAAATCTAAACTGTATTTTGTAGTCTATGATGGAACTTCACAAACGAAGAAAAGCACTTACAGAACCAGAAACGAGATACTACATGAAACAGATTTTGCAAGGGGTTCACTATTTGCATCAAAATAGAATTATTCATCGAGACTTGAAACTAGGTAATTTATTTTTAAATGATGATCTTGTAGTTAAAATAGGTGATTTCGGTTTGGCCGCGAAGATTGAATACGATGGTGAACGAAAAAAAACTCTGTGTGGTACCCCTAATTACATTGCCCCCGAAATTTTAAACAAAAAGGGGCACTCATTCGAAGTGGACATTTGGTCGATGGGTTGTATCATGTACACCTTGCTGATCGGAAGGCCGCCTTTCGAAACTAATAGTTTGAAGGAAACTTATTCGAGAATAAAGAAATGTGATTATAGGTAGGTAAACATATCAGTGCTCTGTTGAATTTTTTGTATTTTATCTTTTTTTTAAGAATTTCTTCAAATATATCAAATAGTGCAAAACATATGATCATGCTGATGCTCCAGCCTGACCCTAAGTCACGCCCCAAGACTGACCAACTCCTTAGCACTGAGTTCATCATTAACGGATACTGCCCAGCAAATCTACCCGTGAGCTGCCTCACAATGGCTCCGAGGTATGACAAGCTAGAAATGTCGTCGCGCAAACCCTTGATTGAACTGAACCAAGGCAAGTGCTCCTACAAGTCTCTGTTTAGATCATGACTTATCGTTTTCTTTTTTCAGAATCGATGGTGATCTCTCCATACAAGGGCAAGCACGACTCGATTGCTGCGGGTCTGGCTGGAATTATGCCGCCATCTGCCGTTTGCCAGTTTGATGCCAAAGAAAACTTTATGACCCTCAGGAACATGCTCTATAGGGTAAACTTTTCATCTAGAAATATACAAACCTTTAGTTTTCTTCATGTTAATGATATTAACTTCAAAAAATTCTTCCAAAGGTCCTAAAATCCAAACCGGCCAGAAACCAAAAATTCCTCGACGAGATGACTGATCCCGCCGCCCAACCGATGATTTGGGTGTCCAAGTGGGTGGACTACTCCGACAAATACGGTTTCGGATACCAACTGTCAGACGAGGGGGTTGGTGTGATGTTCAACGATACCACCAAACTCATTATGCTTCCGAACGGAATGTAAGCCTTAACGAATCCGTGGCGGAGCTATTCTTATCACGATTTATTTTTCTAGCAATGTGCATTATGTGGATAAGAATGGCGAGGAGTCTTACATGACCCTAGATCATTATCCCAAGCTGTACGACAAGAAAATGAAGCTTCTGTCGTACTTCAGCAGGTACATGCGAGAGCATCTGATCAAGACCGGCGCTTCTGTAGTTAAGGAAGTGGACTCGATGTCGCGAACTCCCCACTTGCATCAGTGGTGCCGGTCTACCTCGGGGGTTCTCATGCAACTGAATAACGGAACAGTACAGGTTAGTAGAGGACAGAAATAATTCGTTTATGGGTACAGGGTGTTCGGGAAATATTGAGCAAATCTGCGATTTGGGCGAATTTCGTGAAAATGAGATTACAAATTTGTATAAAAATATTTTTTCCAAGCTGCCCTGCTGTATTATTAGATCTAGAACTTGAATTTTAATATTTTTTGTTTGTCGTTAATTTTCAGCGATTTTTGGGTAAAAGTTGTGTTATTTGAAAAATATGAAAATTTAAATCCTCATTTGGGTCCTTCTCTGTTTTTTACAAGATGATTTCATGATGACAAAGTTTTGACAAAAGTGAAATAAAAAATTAAAAGGTCTTGAAAAAGGTTGCACTTGTACACTCGCCGCAAGATAAAGGTTTCCAACCTAAAAGGCATACTACTTTTAAAGGGGCGAGCCGGTGGATTATTAATAGGTATTTTGGGAGGCATCAATAATTAGGGGCGTATCATATTTTTTTTTGCCTAGGCACATGTGTAACGACAACAAAAAATTGCAGGCCTAAAGTATGTATATGCATTATAAAAAGAGAAGAGTATACAGGTTTTGAAACCGGGGGACCGCCTAACCGGGTGTCTTGACCGGCAAATTTCGATCTGCCGAGGCAAGCATCACGGACGCAGGCTGGAATTTGGATGGGTGACCGAAGGCAAACATTTTTTGCTTGAAATTAGTTGGTCTATCGATTCCCGGGATTATTTTGACAAAATTTATTTTCAACCCCTACAAAGGGCTAGAAACCACCCCCAGGGTAAAAATATATATCAGCATAAGGTGTATTTTGTTTCTTGTGCTATTCCCCACATACTTTCCAAATTTCAAGCAAATCGATGCATAAAAGTGGAAATCAGAGCTAAAAACATCATAAACTGAAATATTCGTAAATTTAAGGGTTTTAAATTTTTTTAGCTCAATTTAAACAATGGATTCTTATTGCTCATTTCAAAAACTATAATAAAATGTTTTGTATCATCTGAAAATTTGTTTTTTTTCAAACGAGAGCAAAAAATTTAATTTTTTTTCCAAAATTATAATTCTGGTGCTCAATTTTGAGGGTGTAAATGGGGTGCTGGTGAAATGTGGTGTTTTCAAAATTAAAAAAAAATTCAAATTTTTAATTTTCTTAAATCCATTCAATCTAACTATTCGTAAGTAGGTAGTAGACGTTTAGCAAGATTTATTAACAAGGATGAATCGATTTTTCTATTGTAATGTAATTGCAACTCTTTTAATAGAAACAATATAATAAAAAATGCATACGGGGTCTGCTACAAGAGTTTGCCGATTAGTCCCATTTTAAAAATGCCAATCTACCAAGAAAGCATTTTTGTACAAAACTCGTAAAATGTCAGATGTGACGGTGTTATATGATTTTACCTTACGATGAAAAACCTCCTGATCTATCTTATTTTACGTGAGCGACAGCCTCTCTAGAGCTGACCAACTGAATTGTTGGAACATCATCGCCAGCCCCCGTCTGCTCTTTATGATGGTCATCTAGAATATCTTAAGGCTAGAATCTTAGATTTGCACACGTTAAGCTTTTATATTATTTTATAAACAATTCTACATTATTACAATACTTGTCTCTTTTAATTGAAAACAACAATTTTTATGCCATGCCACTGTTTACCAATCTCATAGCGCTAAATGCAACAAAATATTGCCGTGCGAGTCTAATGGGAACGCCCCATATAGACAAGCGGTTAAACCGTCATATTTCATACAAAATACGATTCAGATTGGAAACTTTTATCTTGCGGCGAGTGTACATGCAAGCTATATTTTTCATAATCAACTGGTAGATACAAATAGGTGATTTATTTATTTTTTTTTTTCAAAAACTAATAAATTAATATCAAATCGGTGTTTAAATAGATATAACTACGAAACAAATTAAATTTTTTAAATAATAAAAACACTTTAGAGTATTTATCAGTGTCCGACAACAGGTTAAAAACTTCTGTCAAATTTTAATAGTGCATCATTGATTTTTTTCGAAATTTTAAACCTCATTTTCAAGGCCTGTAACATCTCAGGGGTGCAGCTTAGTATAAAGGTAAGTTGTGTTAAATTACCATATTTTGGGTTCCCCTACATGCCCCTGCTCTGTGGGTTCTTATACGAAACACCCTGTATATGTCACCTTTTTTGGGATGTTAGTAAAAAAAAAGGAAATTTTGTTAATTGTCCTAAACCCACAACTCTGAAAGCAGCATATTTTTATTTGATTTTAAAAAATTTTATTCGAATCACACCATTTCTATGAACCTTGTTTATTTAAGGAGATTCGATACCGAAAAAAAAAATTGTAAGACAGGTTTCAAAGCAATTGAAATCTGTTAATAAATATGCAGACTGTCTCGTGTAAAAATATCATATCGATTGCCAACGTAGTTTTTTTGAAAAATAATATTAAAAATTATGCTCTTATACACAGGCTCTTATGGGAGTTGGGAAAAAACTTTAATCAAACGTGAATATCGCTCTTAAAAATGGTTAAGATCGGGAAAATAAAATTGTAATTAAAGAATTAAATATTACTAAACATTTTAAAACAATAAAAATATGCACTTACAATGTAATTATTGAGATAATGGAATGAATAGATAACATTTTGACAAATTTGAACAAATATCTGATCCAATGAAAGGAAATATGGCAACGCTGTATTTAACGCTTCGACTAAAATTATTCCAGTAGTCATAATTGATAGTAAATAAATTTTTCGTGACCTAATGCAATATAATAGCAATTTGAAACCAAAATTGAAAGGATCTCTGCAAAACGAACAGTATAGTGTTCTGTCATAATCTTCAATTTGACAAGACGACGTCTCACTACCGTACACTGCGCTCTTGATAGTTATCACATGGATCCTCGGTTTGCACATTTTACTTTTTTCTCATCAATCCACTTTCTGTTAGATACACATTTTATATTGCTTCTCAGTCATTACTTTTCCGTTGTATCTTGGATGTTCATTCATGTTTACGGTATATGCGCTAAGCACAGATGGACAGTTAACACAACTTTACCACCACGCCATACTGATGTGCAATGTTGCTAAATTCCACCCATAGTTTTACAAGCTCTTAATAAATAAATAGACACTCTATAAAAAGTTAATTGCTGTGCATTAAACACTAAAAATATGTACGAGCTAATATGTGTTGTATAAATTTCCCTCGCATATACTATATTTAGTTCGCTCAAATTAGTTCATGTAAGGTTGGTATTACAACGAAACTCCCATTTATAAGCATAGGCTTCCCTCCCGCACCGCCTGCCCCGCAAGAGATCTATCGAACCTTCTTAAGTAACTTGTTTCTGTCTCTATTAATAGACACAAGTAGAACAATAGTGGTATGAGATTTTAGTTGCACTTCCCATTAACAGATGGTGTAAGTAAATGAAACATAGTTACGAATGGATGCCAATTTCATGTTACAGTACGACGCCGATTATCCCTGCTATGTCTAGGAATTTGTGGCGACGCCTTATTTTGTGTTTTTGTTCTGTAAAGTCCGTATAACATCATGTGTTGTGGCTAACGCTTCTAATCTAAAGAAGTTGCAATATTCTATTTGCCTATTTTGAGTATGTCGACATTTTGAACTTACGTAAAATACGTCAGAAAGTAAAGAAAAACAAAAAGATAAACACGGACCAAAATAATTGACTCTTTAAAAAGTATACCTAAAATAGATGTACCTAAATTACATTTTCAAGGATTTTGTCCGTGCCGCCCCGTACATCACGGATAATCGGGGTTCTACTGTACTTTTATATATACTTTTTAAATTAGTTAATTGATTTCATACAAAAATTAAATACTAATCAAATTTTTTATCACATTATTTCGTCTGATTGTTGCTCCTGACAGTCCCCCATTTTTACCCAAAACATGTTGGCATTTACTGTAAGGAAGTCATAGCTTTTGCCCCTAGCGAAAATCACTGAAATTTCGTCCACATACGAAAGCGCCGTAGTAATTTATGTGGGAGGAGATGGCATGTTATTCTTGCTTTCGATTTACAGATGAACTTCGGGGATCACACGAAAATAATAATGTGCCCGTTGATGGCTGCGATCACGTACATAGACGAGGACAAATCATTCCGTACCTTCAGGTTCTCCTCGGTTGAGAAAAATGGCTGCAGCATGGGTTTGTACGAAAAAATGCGTTACGCATTTGATAAAATATCAGTATTGCTGGATCCAGAGAGCGGCTTCAATAAGTGATAATAAAGTTATATCTTTAGAGTTCTAACAGACGGATTAGATGCATCGTCTGAAAATCGTGTTTGTGATTTTCAGACCATTGCACGTAATATTTATTGTTCATTATATTAGAAAATTTTCTCCTTTTTTTACATTATAACTTTCATTTGTGCATATTTTTTAAATTTAATAGTTTATAACGCCAAGTTGAAATAATTGTTTTAAAATACGTGGTGTCCAAGATATACTGTTTAGTTAGCATTAGAGAATGTTTTTTTATTGTATAATACGTAGTTCACAAATAAATATTTTATACTAAACCGGTTTTTATTTGCATTTAGTGTTGTTAAATTTCATGAAATCTATGGATTTTTGAAATTTTTTAATGTGTTAAAAAAATGTTAATACCACAGCCTTTAAAATGATTACTAGCAAGAGATACAATCTATTAAACCTTATATTTTTATAACCCTTTTTATAAATGAAATGAACTCTTGTGAAAAAAAGATGAATAAATCACATTTCACTTTTCCTATACAGGGTGATTCACAACTTATCCAAAAAAATTTGGGAATAGATGCGGCATGAGAAATGGACTCAACATCGTAAAAAAAATTTTGTAAAATCCTTATAGTTTCCGAGAAAAAAATTATTGAAGTTGTACTACTTTCAAGCATTACATCACTGGACAACTGTAGCCTCTAGCATCATTCGCAATACGTGTGGAGAGCCCCGTGGCCTCGGCGACTCCCAATACAATCGTCATTGCGGTAGTGTTTACAATAGTTTTTTAGTACCTAGTTAGTGTCAAAAATGACTTGCGTATATGGCAACTCGGAGTTGATGGATATCGTTTTAATTTATGGTGAAGCAAGACAACAGTTGTATTATGGTGAAACATTTGTGTTATGGTGAAGCACGGCAACATTTGTGTTAGTTCATTGAAACTGAATATGACAGGACCAAATGTGTCTACACATCAGTGGACAAAATTTTGAACAGTTGTAACATCAGGTATGTCAAATTATTTTATTAATTAAAACCACAAATAAATTTTATTAATTAATAATAACAATAGCGGCTATAAAATAGATGCTATAAAATTCAATTTTCCTTTCTTTGCGAAATTCTTTCAAGTTGTTGTCTGTTTTTATCACTGCCGCCATGACTGTCGCATTGTGCGAGTTCAGGTTTTACAGTGGACCAGTTTTCAGTGCCGTACAGAAGTGTATTTTTATATCATTTTCGAACTGCTCTTTTTTGATTTTTTCTTTACAAAATTGTATTTGTAAGCGTCCCCTGTACATCCAGATTTTTTTTTGGATAAGTTCTGAATCACCCTGTATTGTCAAACAAAGTTGCAGCCCAATCTGACATATTCATGTGATGACTCTGGGTCTACAGTGTAGGAAAGTACCGATGGTCTATCAGAAGTTATGTGAGAGCAATAAAGTAAGCCATAGNACAGTTGTAACATTAGGTATGTCAAATTATTTTATTAATTAAAACCACAAATAAATTTTATTAATTAATAATAACAATAGCGGCTATAAAATAGATGCTATAAAATTTTCCTTTGCGAAATTCTTTCAAGTTATCTGTTTTATCACTGTGTTTTTACAGTGGACCAGTTTCCAGTGCTGTGCAGAAGTGTATTTTTAAATCATTTTCGAACTGCTCTTTTTTGATTTTTTCTTTACAAAATTATATTTGTAAGCGTCCCCTGTACATCCAGAATTTTTTTTTGGATAAGTTCTCAATCACCTTGTATTTTCAAACAAAGTTGCAGCCCAATCTGACATATTCACGTGATGACTGGGCCTATAGTGAACTTAAAAAATGAATCGCTAGCTAAAAAAAAAATTGGTAAGTACTAAATTAGAAAAAAATATTAGTTTTTATAACTTCATAAACTTTGAGTTTTCAAGAAATTGTAATATGATTGTGTTATAATAAAACTCAGCCTTGATTGTATGAAAGTAAAATCACTCTGGATAGTCAGAACCCTCAATAAAATAGCTGGGAGTGCCCCAAGCTTGAGGTAATCGCAATTTATACTAAGGTGGTATACGAAATCTAGAAGTTGGACACTTGTAGAAGAGAGGGACAGTATATTTTGTATGCTACATTTATTCCCAGGAACTTATTCTAGTCCGAGGCAGATTTAGACTTAGACCAGCGAGGGGGTAGAGTGGCAAAATTTTGAAGGTACTAAAATTTCAGATTGCGTGACTTTTTTTTGAAATGAAACGAAAGTGTTGGGGTTTTGAAATCAGAAAGGGCCTAGGGCGCCATCGCAATCCACCATTCAGATCAAAAATGACCTGAAGCATTTTCTTAGTTGGAGTGATTGTCGAACCCTGGCTGGTATGCATCTGTCACATTGACTCAAAGCAATGGTGTTCTATTCTACTGTACATTTCGGATGTAGCAAAAAGGTGTAGATAAACGAGATGATGGTAACCACCTCTTGCTCTGATTTAAACTACCCCGTATCTATCATACATGAATTTTCTTCATTTTACGAAAGGTTTAAGATTTTTTTATACCCCTTATTTTTCCTGAATGTCCATTATTCAAGTTGTTTTTATTAAAACTGAAAGTCGACATACACTCAGCAAAAAAATTAGAGCAGAAAAATTTCTAAAATTTTTTTATGATGTTTGGGAATAATCGAGAAAAACAAAGAAGCATCTTGAAGCTTGAAGATTCTAGTTTTGAAATCTTGATGAAAAATTTTTTTGAGCATCACGGCACCATCAAAAGCAACAGAGCAAGGCAAAGATTTAACAATTTTTTTTTCAAAACTACACAGAAATTTTTTTTCTGGCTTAATTATAATGTCAGAGTCAATTGGCCTGATTCATCAGTTTTAATTTGATTTTCTTCTATTTTCTCTGATTATTTCTCATCGAGATATCGTCTATTGAGTGAAAAGTCACCTTTTTCTTTGATCATCGATATCTCATGAACTAATGATCATACAGCGAACGGAAGGTGGGTTTTAAAAACCTGAATCAATCCTCGTCAAGAGCCTTTTGGTATGTTTAAGAAAAATTTTGTGTATACTCGGCAATCTCAGCATTAATTTGAAAAAGTGCAAAAAAATGGCTTTTTTTCTGTTTTGGAAAATCAACGACTACTTTGCAAATAAAGTGAAGAGTTCTAATGTTTGTATGTTTTTTTTTTAACTCAATACATGCCCATGAGGCCTGAAAATTTTGAAATCAATTGGTCCAACTGTTTTCCTTTCGTGAATCGTCAAGTTTTAAAAAAAATTGAAGGAGCAGGTTTATTGTTCCTTAAACATCATTTAATGATTAAGAAGAAAACATTTTTTTCACGTTATTTTTCTCACACTTTCGCATTAAATGCTCATCAAATATAGAATTTTGAAAAAAAATTCAATTTTGAAAAAATTTAATTTTTCAAAATTTCTTAAAATTTTTTTGCGTCCTTTTTTACAATTTTACATGGAATTTTTCAAATGTTTAGAAAGAGTTTTTTTTGAAATTTAAGTTTTGAAAACAAAATTTTGAATTTCTTTTATTTGTTTGCTGTACAATCATCAGGTCATGAGATATCGATGATAAAAAAAAGGTTTCACTCTATAGCCGATATCTCAATGAGAAATAATCGTATAGAAAATAAAAAAAACAAATTTTTAAGCCTAGGCTAAATGACCCCGGCATTGATTCAGCCAAAAAATAATTTCTGAGCTCATGTGGTTTTGAAAAAAAAATTGTAAAATTTTTGCCTTGCATTCTTTTGATTGTGCCGAGAATGATGCTCAAAAAATTTTTTCATCTCAAGAATTCAAAACCAGAATCTTCAAACTTCAAGATGCTTCTTTTTTCCTCGATGCGACCATTATTCACGAAGTTACGTCCTTTCAAAAATCACTAAAAAAATTCGGAAATTTTTCTGCTCCTTTAATTTTTTTAGTCTATTTTCATTTTGGAAATCCTTAACAGAAATTGTTTCATTTTAATAGAACACTTTATAATGAAATACCCTGTACAGGCAAAAATGTAACTAATGATAAATATTGTCCGGAGCCATAACGTTATCAGAAGTTTAAAGAATACCCCACATTAATATTTGTATATTAATCATAATTGGCTGTAAATTTAATTTTATCACAAAAATATCGAATCAATACAAAGGTATTTCCTTCGATATCCTGGTGATTTGTGAACTGTTAAACGAAGAGATATGTTAATATAAATTAGTATCTCAAAATGGTAAGTTTTAAAGAATTAAACCAGTGATTCTCAATAATGGAAAAATATATACGACAGAATACATTTCACTAAATTTCTCAATCATTAAAGGTAACTGAAAACATTTAATGGTACATGAAATAATCATATTAAGTTTTATTTTATTATTTTAATAGAATAATCTTTAAGAGTAAATAAATTCGCTAATGCAAAAACTATTCAGGACCTTTGAGATGGGATAATTGAAATTGTTTGAAGAAAAATTTTAATTGCTATTCTGTGATTGGTAGATTCGGACACTCATAGGTATGATTAAGCGCAAGTACCAAATGCAATTAACTACTATTATACAGTCCCCCGACATCCACAACGCCAGCATTATGGGAAGACAAACTGCAATTAATTTGCTTGTCAGTGTTTTCATTTTACAGCTGTACATGTGAGTACCTATACATTTTTCACAAAATAATTATTTTAATGACGAAAAACTTAAATTGTTATGGGGTACACGTTTACTTCAAAATTACGTTTCAGTTGGGGCACTCATCAGATTCCTTTGTCCAATGAAAGTATTTCATCTGTAGATGAAGACGAAGTGAAATACATGGAAATTAAAGTGCAAAATAAAACAGCACCTGGTGTGGCACTCGAAAACACCACTCGGTTCAACGATGAGTCTTTCCATCTGGATGAAACTGAAGGTACACAGAAACTCAGAGAACATATACTGTTGGCGAAACGTTCACAACTAAGGGTAAGAAAATTCGTTGATTTAATATTTATAAAAAAGAATCTTCTGTAGATCTTCGCCCACGACCCAGAAGACATCCTTTTCATGCTGACGGCCCTGGTTCTGCTGTGCTTCCACTTATTCTTTATGGATATGTTCATCAGGCTGACAAGAACCCGTTTTCAGACTAACAGCAGATACCAATACCTCTCTACGGTTCATTTATTCCTCGCTTTCCTCGTGTGCACCATTTATTTTTTATTAATTTTACTTCATTACAGAGACAGCCAGTACTGTGGCTAAAGAAAATATTTTCTTTTAAAATGTAAACAAATAATGGCTTTGGTATAGCATTTTTAGTTTTTTTAAATGTACTAATTGTGAGTGACAAGTCTTTTGTTCCTTATTTTTTTTTATTAAATTTATTTCAAAATGATTTCCAGTAATTATTTCTCTTATTATTTAAATATGATACGTTCACTCCTTTTTTTCTCCTATATTTATTAAAAGTATGTACAATATGTATAAATAAATAAAATATCCAATAGTTCTGTCCTGTTGATTCAAAAAGGAATGCACAAAACGCTGAAAAAAATCTGGTTTAACAGTAGTTAAGTTATATAAATATGTGAATAAAAACAAAAAGCCTGGATTTATTATTAAAGGTTTTTTATACTTAAAACTGTTATCATTGAAAGGCACAACCAAACGCAAGTCCTCATTGTTATCGACAACATAACTTACTAACTAATGATATTGTGAGAAATAACTCTGCAAGCTATCCATCCGACATTAGATTACATCTCACATCTCATCGTATTTAGCAAATAACTAAGATCATAGACAAAGACAGAAAACTAAGATCATTCGTCAGCAGAATCACGAGACATAAACAATTTCTTAGTTTTCATTAGTATGACATACACAGATCAACAATTTAGCTATCTACCAACATGTTTTGTGGGTAACTGAGACATAACCTATAAAGTATATGTCATATCTAAACGTCATTGCTACTCAATGCCTATTGGCAGTATTGACACTACTTTATTGTGCCTACTGGTAAACTATCTACAGAATAGTAGGTTGTTCTTTCGAGTATCTATTAATTTGTAAGCACTTAATCAGTAGTGCTGAGCGTCAGTAGGCATTGACTAGCAATGATGACACATACTTTGTAGGTTATGTCGGTAGGACGAAATGGACACAAATTCTGAAAAAAATTAATTTCGAATTTTTTACAAATTTCAGTCATTTGTGACAGAACTCAAAACCGATAGATTAGTGTGGATAAATATTTTTTTTCCTTTTCTAAAAAAATAATTATATAAATGACCATTAGTTATCTCTGGTCTGTTATAAAAAAAAATGTTCATGCTCAAAGCCTTGTAACAGAATGGATCTGTTTATTAGACAATAGTGTCATATTGCACTTAACAATAAATAACATGATTTGTTAAGCGGAAATGTAAAAATTGAACTGCAGTACATTTCATGTAATTTATAACACAGGAAAAAAGAAAAACTCCCCGGAATTTCTCTTCAGTAGGTACTTTGTTCTTGTATGAAAAGACAATTTTGTACAAATGCTGATTTTTGTAATTTCGCATTCATTTTGACATGAATCAACCTTAATTCAAACTGTGTTCCGCAGAACTCAGGGGTTACCCACAACCTCTGGCGGTTCTGCAACTCAGTCAAATATTCGAAATTTTGATATTAACAATATCGATACTACATAAACTACTAAATTGAAAAAAAATTATACTCTTGCGTAAAATTAGTATATTATATTATAATCAGTAAAAAATGTGTTCGAAAATTTTTTTAGGTGTTCCACAAGTCGCAAAAGTTTGAAGACCGCTGGCCTAGTGTGAAAACAAGTAATCTTTTCATAGGATCTACAATTAGTAGGTCATTCAAGCAGTAGGTACAAAACAATGCTGTGTCAGTAGGCACTGACAATGACATTTTGGAAATAACATATACCTTGTAGGTTACAACTCAATCACACTCAGAACTGTTTTGAATAGTCGATATGTTTTAATAGAACCCTTTTCACACTAATATTTGCAGTTACTGCTATTTACACAATCAGTTCCGCCCATAGTTTATATTACAATATTTATTTCTTCGATGTCAGGAGCCATAAAAAACATATTTTAGTGCAGATAAAACTTTTTGAATAAACAGGGCAGAATACATGTGATGGAATTTCACAACGTAATTTTTAATGATGAAATAAAGTGGTCAAGGATGAAGAACATGTATTGAGAGTATCATGTACCTATTCTTTGTACTTGGGACGTAACTTATAAAAACTTGGACTCCCCCGATGAGAATCTGTTATCCAGTAATTGAGCTTTTTTCAGAACTGCCTTCTTTTGCGCCTCATCGAAACGGTTGACTTGCAGGTCTATTTCTCTGCTGAATGGTCTCCTTTCGCTAGGACCGCTTTCATTCTGAAACAATCAGAAGCAGCAGTATCAGATCCCTGTACTATCTACTCTCTACATCTTATTCTGTGACAATCAGATATCATTTTCCGAAAAGTTGCAAAATTAGTGATCATATATTAAAAAGCAAAAAGTTGAAAGTTAAGAGGTTACCTTCTCATTTTTCAACTTCTTCCGGTGGATTTCCAACAAACTATCTTTTTCCTTCTTATGTTCTTTTGCAATTTTCTCCTGTTCTAAATTTCTACTATGGATGTGCTTCAATTCTGCTTCCTTCTTGAGGTCAATTACTGGTTCTATCTTGCCTTGTTTCTTTTTAGCTTTGTCTTCTGGGGTATCGGTCCACGAAGATCTTAAAGTAATTACTTTTATTCGCTTCGTACATGTCTTTAATAACTAGTAAATGGAATATTTCTCATTGTCATGACAAAAATCAAAATTACATTAATTATTATTTAAAGTATTAAATGTGAGTCTCGATAACTGAAAACGTCAAGAGTATAAGAACAATAACCTGCTTTGTAACATTCCTGCAAATATAGATATTGGTCATGTTACCACCAACGTATCAGCAATATTTTTATCAGAAATAACACAGAGAAATTACAGAAACAGTTTTAAGCTTAAAAAACAAGTATTCCAGTGAAAATACTTTTTTATTTCTCAACATGAGTATCAATAAACAAATCCTCAATGTTTATTTAATTTATACTTATTAATAATATATTTTTAATTATATCAAAAAGAGTTAATCATATGGACAATGGTCAATTGCCCTTGGAACATTTAAGATTTATCTAAATGTTTGATTATAACGAGCATTCAAATAAAAACGTGGTCGAAGTTGGCTCCGACACATTGGACGTAGGGAGTAGCTTATAGCGAGCAACTTAACCTCATTTCTCAACGAGCTGCATAGCAGCTGTCAGTTTCAATAAAGTTAATGACTATATAACTTTATTTTAAAGAATCCCCCTCCTTGTTCCAAGCACTTTTCACACCTGTTATTCAAAGAATTAAAGACATTTTCTAAGATGCTCGGGGTATTGTTAATTTCACGAATCTTGTCTATAAGTCGAGCCTGCAGATGGTTTAAATCAGGAATAGGCAGTTCAAAAATAGTGTTTTTAAGGTAAGGCCACAAAAAGAAATCACACGGCGTAATATCACATGACCTCGGTGGAAATTCATGTTCAGCATTGAGACTTATTAGTCGATTTTGGAAAACTTCCCTCAACATATTCATCGTCTCGCCTGCCGTATGTGCCCTTGCGCCATCTTGTTGAAAGTAAAAGTTTGTAATTTCGTTTTCTTCCAGCTGGTTAACAAAAGGAGCGATAATTTCTTCTCTATACCTTTGCGCAGTAAGAGTACCATTAAAAAAAATAGGTCCATAAATCCTCCTTCGATTGAGAGCACACCAAACTCCAATTTTTTGAGCGTGTAGAGGGCCCTCGACAAAAAAGTTATCTGGTTTTTCAGAAGACCACATTCTCATATTCTGTGAGTTTACGTAACCACTTAAATGAAACCAGGCTTCATCAGAAAAAAAGGTGATATTATGAAGTTCACCGTAGTTGTTTAAAAACCATTCACAAAATACAGCCCGTCGCGGAAAATCAACTTCATGAAGTTCTTGCTGACAAGTTAAACGATAGGAGAACAAACGCAAATCTTTTTTTAACACTGTGTGGCAGGTACCGACTGATACTCCCACCATTTGTGATAAAACACGTACAGAAGTTCTTGGCGCATTTTCCATTATTTGTTGGACATTTTCTTTTAATTCTTCAGTCCGCTTTTTAGGTCGGCCGCTTCCTTCTTTTCTTGTTACACTGCCCGTTTCACGAAAAACATTAACACAACGCTGAACTGCACTTTGAAAAATTTTGTACTCAACAACGCCGGGAAATTGATTTTGAAATTCTATGAAACATTCCTCAATAGAATACTTCCATATTCCATCAATCTTGCGTCCATTTCTAAAGTAGGACTCTATGATAAACACTTTTTGTTCTTGAGAAAACACCATTTTAAACGCTTTTTAAAACGAAAATATTCAAATTGATAGCGGCGATATAGCGCTTTGACAGATGACGTTTAAGTTCATTTGCTATACGCTATGCCCTACGTCCAAATTTTCAGAACCAACTTGACCACGTTTTTATTTGAACGCTTGTTATTAGGTATAAAATCCTAAACCCTGTTCAAAATCAATTTTTTTTTTTATTGACTCGAAAATTAGTACTGTTACCACAAGAAAAAACTTACCTATCAGACAGGTCTGGTCCAGCCTTGCGCCTAAACTGCCGTGGCCCCAATCCGAAACTGGCCGCTTTGGCTTCTGGTAACGTCAGCATCCACTCCTCTCTAACAGGCTGCTTATTTTCCGATGAATCCAACTGATCCATCTTCATCTTCAATGCCCTTTCTTCCAGTTCTATGTGAGCCTGTGAAAACTGTGCTCCAGCAGGTACAGGCCCATACACATCTTCGCTTTCGTCTTCCTCTTTCCCTGGTGATTGTTGCTGGAGATGTGGAGGTAGGGCAGGTCCAATAACGTTTTCTTCTTCATTTTTTAACAGACGGGGTGGTAAAGTTGGACCTATTACATTATTCTGGTTACTGCTTTCCCCATTATCTTGAGTGTCAGAACTGTCATCGTCTAAGGACGACACTGTTACAAAATGTGGTGGTAATACTGGACCGATTAAATTGTCTTCTGCGACGGGTTTAAGTAGATGAGGCGGCAGTTGAGGACCAAAAGTGTTTCCATTTTGAGATTGTTCTTCATCGCCATTTTCTGATTTTGTTGGAGTACTCGTCTCTGACGGCAAAATTGGGCCAATTGGAAGATTTTGTGAGTCGTCTTCTACAGGTTTTAAAGCTGGTTGTTCTTTATCGTTATTAGTACTTTCTGTTTTGGGGAGACTTGGACCAAATTCTTCACTAGTTATTACATTTGAATGCTCTTCAGTAGGTTTTTCTTCTACTGGTAATAAAACTGTGTCTTTTTTGTAAGGTATTGATTCTTCCTTTTTATCTTTTATTTTCTCTTTTCTGCGTTTTTTATCATTTGAGGTATCGCTTTCCCTGTGTCTACTTCTACTAGATTTTCTGTTTGATTTATCTTCAGGAGAATAATCTTTCTTTTGTTTTTTCAATTTTCTTCTTTCTGTGTGATGACGGCTTCTAGATCTAGATCTTGAACGATTTCTTTCTCTGTGACGGTAACTTTCTTTTTTACGTTCTTTACTTTTGTCATTAGGTTTCTTATTCCTTATACTCTCTGTTTTATAACGAATACCTTCATCCGAGTCCACAGAATCCGAATCGGAAAACTGATACATGTTTTTAATTCTGGAAAAAATAATGAGTTAATAAATAAATACACTCAAATGAATAGTTCTATAACATTTATTATATAAACATTTTTTTAATTTTTCTACTGCTATATTTGACACTCTTAAATAACCCGGCAGTTACAATACTCTTCAAACTTTGACTAACAGAAGATTTCCACACGATATCATTAATACACTGCTTAACAATAAGTCCACAATCTGGATCATATGCTATTGCTCTCAGAACGTCTTCAGTATCTTGTCGAAGCGTCCCTCTATTCCAAAACCTAGTTAAGGCCTTTTGAGGCCATCTTGGTAACTGATTTAAATGGTGAAGTTTAGCAATGGGGCTAACATCTTGTGCACAATTAATTGGAGGTTCATTTGGGTCAGAAACTTTGGATATTACTGCATTTTTGTCTTCCACCGATTCTTTCACCAATCTTTCTTTTAACATAGGAAAATCTACATAATCCGGTAATGACAAAATGAACGATCGATACAATTGCCTAAAACCTGGCAACTGTGCTTTTACGATATTTTCCACTTTATTCTTATTTTCACCAAAAGTCATGCGAAAATCACCACTATAACTCAAGTTTGAAATTGTGTGATAGAATTCATATTCGGTAAAAGATTCTGGCAATATCAGCAGTGCAGCATGCACAGCAGACTGTAAATTTAATTGCAATGCCGTGTCTAATTCAGAACTTAATGGTTTCTTAACAATTTCAACAGGTTTATGTAGCCTTCCAGCTAGATACAAATCAGACCACTCCAACAAATCCGTAACTAAATCATCAGTAGCCACAACACCATACTTAATCCAAATGTCATCTAATGGCACCAATGTGTTGAAATAGACTTTAGCACCAAAATTTTGTTGATAATGTGCTATTAAATTATGTCCAAAATATTTTAAACTACTATAATGTGAGGAATTGTGCTTTAAATTTGCTTCATGCCACGCACTTGGATTGTTTACACAAAATATCAAATCGATTAAATTCTCCGACTTATTTTGTAATTGTTTCTTCACAGCGGATCCGTAAGCAAAGCAAAATGTGAAGTTCTGTGGAAATCTTGATAAAATTCTCTTATAAAGTGGAGGTACTATAGTTACTCTTGTAGTCGCCATGGGTCTCCTAATATAACTCCAAATAAAAAAACATATAATCTTGTTACTACAATCGGTTTCTATTATTAGATTTTGAGTAAAATTTCTTCAAATAAATAAATTTACTTATTATAACTTAACCTAGAAACTTCAACAAAACGTACCTGTCAAACACTTATAATGTCAAAGCAGCCAACGTAAAATAATAAATGTAGTTCAATTGCACCATCAGTTTGAGCTACTAAGAATAGGTTAAAGCTCCTTACTGTGCTCAGGGGTTAAATGGGTAACTAATTACTTTATCTATGTGAATAACTATAACGTATAGAAATTGTTTTTTTGTAAATGTAGTGAATATTTATATGATACTATTGGTTTTATAAGCTACATTGCGTTCTGTAATTTAGCAACGTTTTTAACTGCGATAAATTGATTCTTTATGAGGTACGTTTACTTATATCACATTAACTACACTGCCCACTGGCTCAACTATTTTCTCGTCAAATATGTTGTACATATTCCAACCAACTATCTAAAAAACAATTTAGTTCGTTCCTTGACATTTATCTAAGAAATTACAACCATATAATTCTCACTATTTCAAATTTATTAAGTAAACGATTGTAAACAATATTAGTTTGCAAACACTTAAAGGAACTACTGAAAATGAAAAACTACTCATCCCTTATTTATGTGTATATTTTGAATACATTATTTCCTGCAGAATTGACAGACCTTTTTACCTTAATACCCTCTGCCGTCTAACGCTGACATATTAATTATTTATTAGAATTCATTTCGGTCTATAGTTCGAGTAGTAATGTACTCGAAGGGCTATATTAGTTGCCTGTCCCCAAGGATATTTATATAATGTATTATAAATATCCTTGCCTCCCCCTGTGAAACACCTATGATTTCAATGCAGCCAACACAACGAAAAACAATTGTAGTTCAATTGCACCATCAGTAGGAATTAATAAGCTATTTACCATACGTCCACTTGAGAAATTACAATTTCCATAAATTTAAATATGAACGGGTAAATCATGGGTAAATGATTTAGTGACTATTAAAAACCTCAAGGAATTCAAAAAATGAAAAACCACTTGCTTCTTATTTATAGTTTGTATATTTTGAATATCAATTAATACATGGTTAAACCTTATTTTTCTTCGAGAGTATAAATGTATGAAGATTATCACAATTTTCGCAAGTTTATAGTTAGTCGGCATGTCTAAATCTAAGTAAACCTACTGCAAGAAATTTTGTTCTACAACATATACTCTTACAATCAGTTTGACACGAAATCAGTGCGAAAAAAATTGTTAGTATGTACAGGTACATTTTCCATACAAACATAATACAACTGAATTCTTCTATATACATAGACTTTATTAGTTTACTATAGAAGTGACAGTTTCATAGATAGCTTGCGCAACATAATCCACGTTTGATGGAGTAACGCCACACATGCTTATACGGCCTGACTTTAGCATGTAAATATGGTATTTCCTGACCATATTTATGGACTGAGCCTCTGAAAATAAGAAAAATAATATTTTGGAATCGTTTCAATTACTCTGAAAATAGTACCGTTCAAGCCTGTGTAAGAGAACATGCCGATTTGGTTGGTGATGTGGCTCCAGTCCCCAGGAGTGCCTAAATGCTCTAAGGCCTCTCTCAACAACCGTCTCATTTCAATGATCCTCGACGACATAGTTTTAATGTTATCTTTCCTAAAAATAAAAATATTTACTGCTACGGTAAAGCCAAAAAGGATAATTTACCATTGGGCATATAAGTCCTGGTTAGATAATACGTAAGTAACGATTCTTGCTCCGTGACTCGGCGGGTTGGAGTACATACCTCTTACTATCAGAGTTAACTGGGATTTAACGGCAGGCCCCAATTCCGCCTTGTTCAAAACAACGCTTAAGTTACCCACACGTTCGTCTGTAAAAAATAAATTATAAAGTTCACGATCTCGTACGAAGACTAAAGTCACAAACACAATTTAAAAATTAACGCCAATACGTACTGTACAACCCGAAGTTTTTAGCAAAGGACTGTGCACAAAACAACTCAAAACCTTGCTCTACGAAAAACCTAACCGTTGCGGCGTCTTGTATCAGATCTCCCGATGCGAATCCTTGGTAGGCGGAATCGAAGAAGGGGAACAGTTTCCTCTGTTTGATAACTTCGGCGATTTGGCTCCACTGATCGGGCGTAGGATCGCATCCCGTCGGATTGTGGGCACATGCGTGAAGGATAATAACAGAAAGCTCGGGAGCATTCTTTAAGTCATCGATGAAACCTTCAAAGTCAAGTCCACGCTTCTCCTGCGACCAGTAACGGTACTCCCTGCCCTCCGCGAATCCAGCATTTTTAAAGATCAACTTATGGTTACCTATAAAAAAAAATGTTAGCTGAACGTTTATGGTAGAAAAGTGATGTACTGTACCCCATGTTGGATTACTGTAATAGAATACTTTTCTTCCTAAAACTCGCGCTAAAAATTCAGCCCCTACCCTTAATGCACCAGTGCCAGACAATGCTTGTACTCCAAAGGCCTAAAAATGTATAGATTATATATCAGCCAGCACCATTTCCAGATTGAGAGTTAATTTAATTTATCATATTTGTATGTTTTTATAATAAAAAAAATATGACGATAAATAAAACATTAATTGAATATCTGTGATTATGGATAATATCAACGGATAAATTTTATAATTTAAAAATATATTGAAACAGGTTGTGTAATGTGATCTTTTTAGTAAATACTTCTAGTAGTTGCCAAGAAATTTCAAATAATGTTACAATTTTTAAAAATAACTGGTAAATACACTTGTTTACATGAAATAATTCTAACAAGTTAATCTTGTCATATAGATAACATGAGAATTAGTGATAAGTAATACAAATGCAGTAAAAGGTCCAAGTTTTAATATAAATATTGTCTTAACATTTGTATAAAACTATTTTGATAATATTTATGTATGTTCACTATTACTATTAATTAATAAATCTCAGTTAACTACCAAAAAAACGTGTTTAAATTTCTTTACAATTATTTCAAAATCTTTTACTTAAGGAGTATCCTATTTCTTATATATATATTGATAAAATGTAACTAATTAATGTTATTTAAGCTATAAGATATGTCTAATCAATCTAGAACAAAATCAGTAACTAAATCACACCATAATAATTATGTTATTTTCATAAAAATATGTTACTTAACCAGTTTGGAATATTTTAAATGGTACAAAAAAATTATACATTAGGTAGTTAAATAACATACGATTTTTTCAAAACAAAATCTACTTACCCGTGCCTCAAGTAGGGCTGGGCTGCTTTCGCCCAAGAGCATCGTAGTAGCAGCATTACTTAAAGCATCCAAACCTAGCACTGGAAGATACTCCTTGTTTAAAGTTTCGTCATTTGCCAATGCCTTTTCTGCTGCCCGTACAACCGGTAATACCCATGGTTTTCCCTCATTGGTTCGATATGCTGTGTATAAATAATCATAACTAATAATGATATAAAAAAACCGACAGAAAAAATTATAATTTCTCTTACCTCCAACCCCCAAATTAACTTTTAAATCATAGGTATCTTCATTGAATGCTTTTGTTAAAGCGAACACCTCAATTGGTGGCCCCAATTGTACGTCAGAAAACCAAGACATTTCGAAAATCTTCAGTAATTCTTTTCAAAAAGTCTCAACTGATGGTTTTATATAAGTGAAATAATTTAACCTTTTTGACCTAATACCCCAAGGTTACCGGGGACCATTGACGTACACTAGTTACAGTTACAAAACAAATTTGTTAAGAAGACAGAAGTCAGCTGACTGCCGGTTATCAGGGTTGCCAGTTGCCAGATGAATTTTATCTATTAGCGCCAATAGATGAAAATATAGTAGCCAACAAATTTGAAATAAAAGTTAACTTTGTTAAAAAATTGTGTTAGATGACACCACGTTAAATTTTTTTAGGGCTAAACATTTTGAAAGAATATTTAAAAGTCAGACAGTACCTATCAACAAAATACAAATTGGACTGCAAAGAAAATATTTTTTAACGCAGATACAAAACAGAAATTTTATGTTTTAGCTTTAAATAAGTGACATTTTATGCAAATAATTACTACCGTCGTGTAAATAATCTTATTAGGCACAAGTTAAACAACCAGTCGACAATTTTTTTTAAAATTACCAGTCGCCATATGAAATTTTTGGCAGCCATTCCATCATGTTCTGTCGTCAAAACAGCCATAAATCGCCACATCCGGCAACTCTGCTGACTGCTGATTGAATTGGGAGTTGCATAATCTTGATATCATCACATGATATCATGGCACGAAAAGATCGTAGCGTAAGACCACAGATTACTTACACAGACACACAAAAAAAAATTGAAAACACCAGAGACTAGACCCACCTATCCTTATGTATTTTGACGCGCTGAAACCGAATCCGGAGTCAAAGTTGCTCCATCACCCTCCAGTTTTTTTTTAAATCACGAAAAACTACCCCAAAAACACGGAAAATCTTCAAATTTCGTGATTTAAAAAAAAACTGGAGGGTGATGGAGCAATTTTGACTCCGGATTCTGTTTCAGCGCGTCAAAATACATAAGGATAGGTGGGTCTAGTCTCTGGTGTTTTCAACTTTTTTTTTTGTGGGTCTGTGTTATTATATAGTTAGTTCTCTTAACTTCATATTATCTAGGTTAACTTCGACATCTTTTATGTCGGAGATCCCAGATTTCGTTTATTTTTCCAGACGTATCTAGAATTTGGGATCGGCGCAATATCGATGCACTTAATTAAAGTTTAGGAAGTTATTCAATACAAAAAGAACATGAAACTGATTTTTAAGTTGATCCTACAATGACAATGAGAGAATTTTGTTTGCTATGGTTAGTATCGATTCAGTAACAGTAGCAAAACAGACCAAGAAATAAAGGTGAAAAATCATGGAGAACTCGTAAAAATTACAGGGCGTGATTTTATTGTTGGAAAGTCTTGGGAATGATAATACAAAAGGCGTGTCATCAAATGGGTCATGAAAAAAGTATAGCGTCATTGGTTTTTATCAACAAATAGGTAAAAAATTCGTCATTTTTTGTTCTACGCATTATTGTAAAAAAACTATTAATCTTAGCAAAAAAATGTTTAACAGATGATCTAGAGAAACTCATCTTTAAAATGAGGCTTTATAAGTTAAAATTGCTTTATAAACAAAAAAGTTATTGCAAAATTAAACGGAAAACGTGCCTTTTTTAAATTTTTTTTTCAAATTTAGTTGTATACAGGGTGTTACGAAATTCGCGGGCACGGACTTTGGGATCATGTTAAGCTAGATAAGGTCATAAAAAAATGTCTCTTATCATTTTTCAATCAGACCGACATTTTTCGAGATACTGCAGTTTTAATTATCCAAAAATAATAAAGATTTTCAATTTTTCAATTTAATTTGATAAACAATTATGACAAACGAATTGTTCAAAATTTCCACCACCTGCTGCTAAACATGCTTCAGCATATTGTGCTACAGCTCGAACGGAGTTGCGTACCTACCGTCTCTGGGGTTATTTGTTGTATTATTTGAAACATACAGCTCTATAACAATTAATGACCATTCAGAAAGAATTTATCAATACTTTGACATCGATAGAGTACAGTAAAAGTACATGTCAATACAAACTGCAAAATACAATTATTCAAATCGTGAATAGTATGATATGCTGATGGCTCTCGGAGCTTCAAATAATGGTGCAGGTGAAGCAGTGCGGTTGGCTTGGCAGAGGCGGTCCATTTGCTTGGTCACCTCGTTCTCCAGACCTAACGCCATTTGATTTTTTATTTTGCGGCTTCTTAAAAAGTTAGTGTACACACCATACACCAGTGGCTAGTTTGAATGAATTGCAGAACCGCCTATTTCAATCAATACAGCAAATTACACCAGAGGTGATACGCAACTCCATTAGAGTAGTAGCATAATGTGTTTTAGTATGTTTAACAGCAGACGGTGGGAATTTTGAACAATTGATATAACTCCTTTGTCATAATTGTTTATATAATGATTGAAAATTGAAATTTATAAATATATATTTTTATTATTTTTGGATATTTGATACTGCTATATCTCGAAAAATACTGGTCTGATTGAAAAATCATAAAGACACTTTTTTATCACCTTATCTAGCTTAATATGATCCCACAGTCCGTGTCCGCGAATTTTGTTACACACTGTATAATTGTTACCAAATAGAAGACACTTTTTTCCCTAATAAACAAATAAAATAACTTCGCGGTTTTTTACTTTTGAAAGCTCGTAAAAAAAACTACAAATTGAAAGAAACAAGTTTCTACCACCAACTGGTCCGGAGTTAGCAATTTTTTTTTAAATCACAGAGCAATCTGTTATAAATATTAAGACCTGAAATTTTAACATTTTGTAAATGAAGGTTTAAACTTTATGCCCTGTTAATTTTAATTGAATTTGCCCATAACTGATCAATCCATAGCCCGTCAAAGTAAGGGTACGTGGCAGTAGCCCTTCAGGGAGTGGTGGTGGGGGGATCTTCCTCTCAACCAGGAAAAAAACTGACAATGTCAAAGTAATATCTCAGCTTCTATGTAACGTAGAATCTTTTTTTTAATTGGAGGTAGTTCGACGAAATAATTACTTCTAGATTATTTCTCCCCTTGTAAAACCATCCCCTACCCCCTAAAAATTAATTTTTTGAAATTTTTTTTTGCATTATTTTTATTTGAAATGTTTTAGATAATAGTTCTCAATAAAAAAATGTTGTCAAAATTATTTTAACCCTTCAAAATTAATTTAACCCCTTCAACCCCCAAAAAAAATTTGTATTTAAATTTTTTTTATTTTTTCGTACTTTTTATATAATTATGGATTTTGTATATCGATTAAAGGATTAATTATTTTGTAAAATTATTATTAATATATTTATTTATAATTAGTATAAAAATATATAAAATATTTCCAGTATCTACTGACAGTAGAATTTTTTTTTACAATTCATTAAAAATTTCAACTTCAATTTGGGCATCTCTTAAGGCTATAAAAACTCACATTTTGGGAAAGTTTGGTAAGATTTTATTAATTATTTAAAAAGTTATTAACAATTAAAGATAAAGCATTTTTTCCGTTTAATTTTGCAATAACTTTTTTGTTTATAAAGCAATTTTAACTTATAAAGTCTCATTTTAAAGATAAGTTTCTCTAGATCAAATCGTCTGTTAAACTTTTTTGCTAAGATTAATAGTTTTTTTTACAATACAATTTTTGACCTATTTGTTGATAAAAAACAATGAGGCTATACTTTTTTCATGACCCATTTGACGACACGCCTTTTGTATTATCATTCCCAAGACTTTCCAACAATAAAATCACGCCCAGTAATTAATAAATTTCAAAATGTTTCCTTTCCTGGTCTAAAATAACTGCTAAATAGGTATCATGTGAGTTGCCACAACGACATACGATTTGCTAAAAATAGCTCAGTTGCAGTAAGTAGAAAGATTTACTAGAAATTTTTGTTACCTCAAGCTAGTCAACTCATCAACCCCAAGTAAGCAACTTACTACTTACTAATCAAATTATTTCCTTTTAGATTGATATTTTGGTCCAGGAATTCAAAAAAATGAAAAACAACTTGTTTCTTTATGTTTTGAATATCAATTGATACATGGTTAAGAAACCATATTTTTCCTCGGGAATATGTATGAAGATTATCACAATTTATCACAAATTTATAGTTAAAGACTAAATCTTCTGCAAGAAGTTTTGTTCGACAACATATACTCGTACAATCAGTTTAACGACACGAGATCAGTGCGAAAAAAATTGTTAGTATGTGCAGGTACATTCTCCATACAAACATATTACAACTGAACTCTTCTATATCCATAGACTTTATTAGTTTACTATAGAAGTAACAGTTTCATAGATAGCTTGCGCAACATAATCCACGTTTGATGGAGTAACGCCACACATGCTTATGCGGCCTGACTTTAGCATATAAATATGGTATTTCCTGACCATATTTATGGACTGAGCCTCTGAAAATAAGAAAAAAATAACATTTTCGAATCGTTTCAATTACTCTGAAAATCTACCGTTCAAGCCTGTGTAAGAGAACATGCCGATTTGGTTGGTGATGTGGCTCCAGTCACCAGGAGTGCCTAAATGCTCTAAGGCCTCTCTCAACAACCGTCTCATTTCAATGATCCTCGACGACATAGTTTTAATGTTATCTTTCCTAAAAATAAACATATTTACTGCTACGGTAAATCCGAAAAGGATAATTTACCATTGGGTGTATAAGTCCTGGTTAGATAATACGTAAGTAACGATTCTTGCTCCGTGACTCGGCGGGTTGGAGTACATACTTCTTACTATCAGAGTTAACTGGGATTTAACGGCAGGCCCCAATTCCGCCTTGTTCAAAACAACGCTTAAGTTACCTACACGTTCGTCTGTAAAAAAGAAATTATAAAGTTCACGATCTCGTACGAAGACTAAAGTCACGAACACAATTTTTAAATTAACGCCAATACGTACTGTACAACCCGAAGTTTTTAGCAAAGGACTGTGCACAAAACAACTCAAAACCTTGCTCAACGAAAAACCTAACCGTTGCGGCGTCTTGTATCAGATCTCCCGATGCGAATCCTTGGTAGGCGGAATCGAAGAAGGGAAACAGTTTCCTCTGCTTGATGACTTCAGCGATTTGGCGCCATTGATCGAGCGTAGGATCGCATCCCGTCGGATTGTGGGCACATGCGTGAAGGATAATAACAGAAAGCT